TATCTTTATTTACTTCTTTGCTCCATCCCCCCTCCCTTCCTTCCTCCATCCCTTCCCATATCCTTCCTTCATCCCCCCTTCCTTCCTTCCTCCATCCTTACTTCCTTCCCATATCCCCCCCTCCCTCCTTCCCTTCCCATATCCTTTCTCCATCCTCCATCCTTCCAAACCATATCCTTCCTTCCTTCCCATATCCTTCCTCCCTTCCCTTCCTTCCTTTCAATAAATGATGAAAGTGAGGGGAAAACTTTCCATCAACATTACCTTAGTTTTAAACATCAGCTGAGACTCTTCTTCTTCTTCGTTGGTATCTTTATTTACTTCTTTGCTCTGTCCAACCGTTGTTTACTGACTGTCAGATGTCAGATTGTCCCTGAATGCACCACAGATGTCAGGTGTTCAGCAGGTGTTCACTGACTCTGCAGTCCTTCACTTTATGTAACCGTCTGTTACGTAACGCTGAGAACTGTTGAGTCAAAATGATGAGAATGAAGATGATGGTGATGAGGATGATGATGGTGATGAGGATGATGATGGTGATGAGGATGGTGATGATGAGGATGATGATGATGAAGGTTCAGTCCAGTTTGTTTTCACTTCACTGAGTTTCAACAGCAGAAACACTGATTTATTTTTCATTTTCTTCTGAACTGAGCAGCAGAATAATGACTCTTCTTAGTGTGTGTGTGTGTGTTATTGTGTTTGTCTCTGTGTGTGTTATTGTGTGTGTGTTTGTTCTCAGATCAGTCGCTTTGTTTCTGTATTCAGACGTTGACCCAGAACTCTTAAATACAGCAGCAGCCTGAGGGAGGCTTCACTGTGAGTGTGTGTATGTGTGTGTGTTCATCCTTTCATGCAGGAACATTAAAACAGCTGACAATTAGTTTTTAAATTACCATTCAGACGATCAATCACTGCAGCTGTGGTTCACCTGTAAATCAAATAGAAGAAGAAGAACGTGTGTTTCATCAGATTACGTCAATGTGTTGACTTTCCTACCTTATGGGGACAAAACACAAGTCCCCATATAAACAAGTACCTTTGTTCTCTAAACATAAACAAGTACTTTCGTTCTCGAAACATAAACAAGTACTTTTGTTCCCTAAACATAAACAAGTACTTTTGTTCCCTAAACATAAACAAGTACTTTTGTTCCCTCAGCATAAACAAGTACTTTTGTTCCCTCAGCATAAACAAGTACTTTTGTTCCCTCAGCATAAACAAGTACTTTTGTTCCCTAAACATAAACAAGTACTTTTGTTCCCTCAGCATAAACAAGTACTTTTGTTCTCTAAACATAAACAAGTACTTTTTTTCCCAAAACATTAACAAGTACTTTTGTTCCCTCAGCATAAACAAGTACTTTTGTTCCCTAAACATAAACAAGTACTTTTTTTCCCAAAACATTAACAAGTACTTTTGTTCCCTAAACATAAACAAGTACTTTTGTTCCCTAAACATAAACAAGTACTTTCGTTCCATTTTTGTTTTATTTTGTTTCCATTGAAAACGTGTGTATGTATCTAATATAAGTATATGTTTGTATGTATATGTGAATAACATATATTAATATATATTTGTCTGTATATGTATATAACATATATTAATATATATCTATTTGTCTGTATATGTATATAATACTATGTACGTACATCAGTTTGTGTGTTTCTGTCAGCATCACTGAAGCTCAGGCGTCATATTGATCACATTAGTACTGATATTGACAAACGTCACCAGCTTCAACATGTGACCACTGCATCCAACACACACACACACACACACACACACACACACACCATTTGACCTTGTTGATCACCGATGTGGTCTGGGGGGATTGATTTGTCATTAAGCCTTTTGTTTTTATTCAAAAATAAAACTGCTGTCTCACAAGCAGTAATAATAGTTTTGTAAAGTCAGTACTTTAGTAAGTATTTGTATCCTTGGCAGTAGCTGTAATGGTACACATTATATTGTTAATATAGAAGTCACAGTACTAGCTGTAGTACAGTAGTAGGATTTAGCTGTCGTAGTAACAGAAGTACTGCAGTACTTTATTTTCACAGTCAGCAGTTTCTTGTCAGATGAACTTTGTGGAAGGTGTACGAAGTTAAAACGTGATGAATGAAACATGGATCAAACGTCGACTCGCTTCACTCAAACGGAAACGTTTTGATTCCTCATTTTAAATGACTTTAAATACTGCAGGTAGTTTCATGTACAGTATAATTATACTTCATCATTGATCAGTTGATCTAAAGTAATTAAATACGTTAATAGTACATAAAGAGGAAATATAACTTCTGTTACTTTCTGTGAGACCAGGTGTTAGTTATCTCTGTGTCACTGCACCTGTGTTTGTGTCCCTGTGACTGTGTGTGTGTGTGTGCGTGTGTGACACGCACCTCCCTACCTACAAGAACTCATCACTCCCCAAATCTCCACCCGTACCCTCAGATCATCAAACAGCTCGCTCCTCCGGGTCCCCAACACCAAGCTCCGCACCATGGGCGACCGGGCCTTTGGCTCGGCAGCTCCACGCCTATGGAACAGTCTCCCTGACCACCTAAGGGCAACACAGACACTGGTCTCTTTAAGACCGGCCTAAAAACCTTTCTATTCAGGAAGGCCTTTCTGACCTAAATCACTGTCAGTTATTTCTTTTGTGTTTCTGTTCATTCACTGTTTTTTTATGCTTACAAGTTATTTTATTATAGTTTGTTTTTGCTATGTACTGGCTCTGTGGCACTCTGAGATTTTTTAAATGAAAAGTGCGTTACAAATAAAATGCATTATTATCATTATTACTGTGTGTGTATGTCTGTGTGTTTGTTTGCGACTGTGTGTGTGTGTGTTTGTTTGCGACTGTGTGTGTGTGTGTGTGTGTGTGTGTGTGTGTGTGTGTGTGTGTGTGTGTGTGTGTCTTTAACCTGATTACATCAAAACAAACAGCAGCTGGCTGCTCCTCACTCTGTGTGTGAATCCTGCTCTCTGATTGGCTGTCGGGTGTTTGTTGTTGAAAATCAAACAAAACCCCAGGGCCCCGTTCCTCGTACGTGGCTAACTGAGTTAGCCGGATACTTGTCAGGATAAGATGACGTAGATCAGGCTTTTCGGTTCCACGAAGCAAGTTTGGCAAAATCACCATGGCAACACATCCATAAGCTTGAAGCTGCTCCAGCGCAGGCTAACTGAAGGTAGCTGGATAAGCTGCCACTCCCCCGGAAAACATGGCAGCTCCTGTCATATACGGTAGTCTAATGCGCTTGCGCATATACCGGGGGTTATACGGGAGTTCCGGAAATGCATGTAAAGTGAGACACACGGTGATCCATTAAAGCAGCTGAGCAAACTAAGAAGCCTCTATTGCATTAATGTACAGCTCCCTTCCTCAGAGATCCACTGATG